GGAAAGTCAAGTCCCGATCGTATAACTCTGTCACCGGATTTGAGACATTAAAAGTTCAATCAATATCTAAAGCACAGGCGGCACAGAGAGCGGGCAGAGCCGGCAGGGAAATGAGGTTTGATTGCTCTGCTATATATTGGTATATCATATATTGATTGTCTTGTTTATCCCTTAAAGTGGTATTTGTTATCGACTTTACACTAAAGAGGAATACAACGAATTTAGAGATCACGCCATTCCAGAGATCCAAAGATGCAATTTAGCCAATGTTTTGCTCCATATTATTGCCATTGGAATCAATGATGTTTTGAATTTTGATTTTATGGATAAACCATCGGAAGATGTATTGCAGTATAATTTTGATTAATTAAGCAATCATTCATTTAAACTTCATTTCTATCGCACAGAACATAAACAGTGCTTTAAAACAATTGGTTCACTTCGGGGCCATTGAAGCCAAACAAGAACTCTATTATGTTTGTATTGTTAAAGCATTGGATTAAATGATTATTTATGAGATCTCATTAATAGCTAACAGCCGTCGGAACACTTATGGTTATATTCCCAGTGGAACCCAAATTGTCCAAAATGATAGTCACATCTAAGTCGATGGGTTGCACGTAAGTCTCTGCAAACATTTACCATATGTTATGTTTAATTGTTTATTTTATTTCAGCGAAGAAATTATAACCATTTTATCGCTTTTATCCGTCGATAATATTTATTACATTCCTTCCAATCAAGTAATTATTTGATAGACTTTTAAATTTTGCGCTCATTTCGTATAAATCTAAACTTATTTTTGTGTGACTTATAGAAAGATATGGCAAATGAAGTCCATAAGAAGTTCATCTCAAGTGAAGGCGATTTAATAAAACTTTTAAAAGTTTATAGAAATTTTAAAACAGCGAAAGAAAACAAAGTATATGTCTATTATATTTTAAAATTTAATTAAGTTATTAATTATGAAATGTATTTGTCTCTAGAAATGGTGTAAAGAAAACTTCATTCATATAAATAACTTGAAATTAGCGACTGATATAAAGAAGCAATTGTCTGATCTCTGTTTGAAAGCAAACATTCCATTGGTTTCCTCTAATAATAACACAGAAGTGATACGAAAATGTCTGTCCACTGGACTCGTATTCAATACCGCATATCTTCAAAAAGATGGCACTTATAAAACTGTATGCATTCAATGAGTTTAACAATCATTTGATCCCATAATTAACGCAAAATGATAACATTTCAGAGACTCACCAAACAAGAGGTTTATATCCACCCGTCTTCGTGTCTGTTCGGTACGAAACCTGAAAATATAATATTCAATGAATTGGTCCAAACATCCAAATGCTATATGAGGTTTGAAAAGCAGTCAACATTATTACAGACTTTGAATTAACGTTAATTTTTATTAATCGCAGAAACATAACTATTATTGACAAAGATTGGCTTTCCTGATGATTATGTATTCATTAATATTTCAATTAAAAGAGATATGAATTTTTAAAAATTGTTTAAAATTACTGAAAAATCAACGAGGTGATCCCTCACTGGCGTGATCCCTCTTTATTAACTGTACAAATGATTTTTGTACATTTGTATGGCAAAGGGCAGAGGGCTCACGTCATTGAGGGCTCAAATCAATGATTATGCAGTTATATTTAATTTTAAATTACGGTATAAATGATAAAATAGTTTGGATTAATTCAAGTGTTGAAATTTGTGGCAATTGTTTGCTTCGATAAGTGAATGATAAATGATTGTTCAGTCATCCAAACCATC